CGGTATATGGCGGGATTCGAACCCAGGACCTGCAGATTGCAAGTCCAGTGCTTGATCACTGAGCAACCGACGCTCCGTGTCTTTGATGCTGTAATTTAAATTCTTACCTATGATTGACTTACCGTTGGTTTTTGAGACTAAAATCTCTGTATAAACTTAGAGAGATCCTCGTCATTATCTTTGATAAAACAGAGATAACAATATATTTTAAACGGAGATTTTGGTCTCAGAAACCCACGGTTAAAAAATCATTTTACTGAAGACTTTAGTTGGACTTTTACATATAAATCAAGCATGTTATATTTCCACGAATAATAATTATTGCGATGAATGTAATTAACAAAAAGTTGTGTATACGATCTTAGAACATTAACAAATGGATACAGCATTCTAGAGCATGTGGATCTGGATATTAATATGTTGAAACAAATCTCACTAATAATTTATTTCTTAGAAACACAATCTTAAGTATAAGGTGTTGGCATATTTGTAACAGCATAAGTGATAAGAGTTAAAAGAAAAAAAATAATAAAACACTACCATATCCTTCAAGTAAAGTTGTGTAAAACCACAAGAATAATATATATAGGACTAGCTGTCGCTCGCGACTCCGTCCGCGCGGAAGTAAAACAAACTTAATAAGTAGCCTATGTGTTCTTTTAAAGTATGCTCTACATATATGCCAAATTTCAGCGACATCCAAGCAACCGTTCCGGAGATATCTTCAAACAAACATCCATAGTAAGATATTAGTAAGATTAAATCTAGTTTCAAACGCATTAAAACGCAGGAGCTTACCATAGCAATAAATCCTACTAACTGTATTGGTATGAGGAACTTTATTTATCTTCACTTAATTAATTTTAACTTTAAATAAATTCGCTATGTTTTTGTAAATTGTACCATACAGTTGTAATATTTGTCCGCGTATAGCGCTGCTTCGCCCCAGTTGTCAGACAAATCAATCAGGGACAGCTAAGAACTCTCTTCAACTAGGGCTGTGCTTACTTCATACTTATCTTCGAATTACTTGAGATTTTAAACACTAAATGTGGAACTGTCATGACTGTAAACTGTCGTGACATTTGGCTTATTACATTGTCGTCCCTTTCATTCTACGAGTATTTGCTAAAAAAAGAGACTACAATATGCTTTCAAAAAGTATCACGGCAGTTGACAACCACAGTCAGTTAAGATAGCTTATAAAGGTACTACCTGTCACCCACGACTCCGTCCGCGCGGATTTAAAACAACTTAATTTGTAGCCTATGTATTCTTCCAGACTATGATCTAGATCTAAGTAAAATTTCATATAGATCCGTTGAGCCGTATCGGCAATACCTTTTTTATATTAAATAAAGCTTCAAACATCCATACATCAGAACTTTAGCAATTATAATATTAGTAGGATTAGTAGGAAGTAAGATTGTTGAATATTTTAAGCAGAGATGATATTATATTAGAGATTATAGTCTTCTAATGCAATTAAATATATATAATTGTATTAACAATGACCGTTGTTTGTCACATTGTCTTTGTAATATTACTATTTAGACTACAGTCTGCTAATAAGACAGAAGCCTATTTTAATATGTCTCAAAATATAATCTCTAATGATCCAATTAGAATTTACAGGATTATTTGAAATTATCAATGAATTTAGGTCTTGACAAATACTGAAATTGCAAATCGATTAGAAAGACAAAGACCTAGTGGGGCAATCCCATGCCATACACCACCTCAAAGGCCGGCAACGCATCTGCGGTTCCTCTGGTATTGCTGATGTCCATGGGCGTCGTGGAACACCTCCGTGTTCCCGCTGCTCGTTTGCCCCCTTCTGTTATAAAAAAAATACAGCATAAGTACATAGAGAAATACTGCAATATTTGCTTACCAGTAATGTTTAAGTCCCCTCTCGGGGCCCCTTGATCCCCGTTACTCCATGCAGCGTCCACCGAAGCGACCTAAGAGCTCGGCGGCCTCCCAATCCGGTGATAATAACGAAGTAACGGTTCGAGCCCAGGTTCCTGAGGGAGCCCTCGAGCTTAGTTACTCTTAAACGAGGTTTAGGCTAAGCGCAATCTGCGCTCGGCCACATCAAGCCCGGTGAAGCTGTAAAAGCCTCCTCAAGGCAAACAGTGGGAATTCAGTCAGTCACAAAAAATACCAGTAAGGTGCATAATATCTTATTATATTGTAGTCAGTAAAGTAAAAGGCAGTACTCTCTCCGTCATTAGTTTAAGATGAATCAAACTGATAACCAGCAACTCCCGAGTTCGAGGTATCCGAGAAAGTAGGATCAAAATCATACGTCTCTTGAGAACGCACGGATTGTAATCTGAATACTGTCGCATTGTTTATATCCTAGTTTACCTCTTCGCTCGACGTTCAACGTATAAACCGACGGTTGCAGAGATGATGACGCGCCGGTCCACGTATCTACCGCTTTTTTTAATTTTTAATGTGGTCTCAATATAATGAAGTATACATTGGGAAGTAAAAGTTTGGTCTCTGATTATGATCTCCGCTGCATACTACAATCATTTGTGTTTAAACGTATATTTATATGAAGTACTAAGATTGAATTTATAGATTCCAAAATAACATTGATATATTTATTACGCCGCGGCGACTGCAGATACTCCAGTTTATTAGGTGTTACGTTTAAATAGGCATAATTTTATATGGTGTGGTATTTTGATTAGAAAATAACAAATGGGACAAAGGTTTTCATAATAATTGAGATATAACGTTCACTTTTGTCGTGTATAGGCATTCGTTACGTGCACAGTGCGCGGAAGACGGCAGCCTTTCAATCAAGATAAGATACGACTGTTCTCACGCCGCCGACAGCAATCACAGCCGTGTCATCACTAACAATACTGGAGCGTACATACTGATTAAAAATTCTACGTATAGTATAAGTCTTGAGGTGTAATGATCCGGTCTTGAGTAGAAAGACGTTATGAATAAATGAAGAATTTGATAAGATTTACTGTCTATCGACTACTCACGCCCCCAGCGTAAGGGCTATTAGTTAAAGTTATGGGAAATCTCTGTTAGTTTTCTGTTTCCATATTTGCTTGATAGTTAAAGTGCAATTTCACTTTTATTAGTATGTCTAGTTTTGCTTACTTGAAGTTTGTTACTTAATGTGTTACTTCATCGCCACCATCATCATCGTCGTCAATATTATTATATCTATCATCTTCTAGTATTGTTTGTGCACATTTCTCAACAACCATTCTTTTCTTGAATAAATCATCTTAAGCTTCTAATATAAACTTCACATATAAGAAAATAATCTGCATGAATAAGTTTGACATCTATATATATAAAAGAAAGTGGTGTTAATTACACTATTTATAACTCAAGAACGGCTTTACCAATATGGCTGATGATTGGTGAGGAGGTATCTTAGAGCCAGGAGACGGACATAGGATACTATTTATTCTTTTTTTACGCATGTTTAGATGGATGTAATATGGATGGATGGATGGGTGGGCTACACTAATTTAGTATTTTATATATTCACGCGGACGGAGTCGCGAGCGACAGTTAGTTTGGTGACTATGTTCAATTAACTTTATACATATGTGCGTCATTAAGCTTTGTGCAACAGCGCCCTTTGATAAATCAAGTTGACGGGGCTTGTTCAATTCAGTGCCTGAAACGTATGGAATACGAGTGGAACGTCTGAGTGCAATACTGAATACCTCTACGTTTTCATATACGGGTATTTTTGTTAGGTTTGTGCTACGTTTAACTTGCTTGTGTTACATGACAGGTTCAAGGTTCGAATACCGTTATGTACCTATGTGTTTTTCGATTTCAAATTTACATATGTAAATTTACACGACGTTTTATGGCAAAGGAAAACATCGTGATGCTGCACATATCTGAGAAAAAATTTAAAGATATGGATGACTATGGCCTAGTCATCCCCGACTAAGGGTAGGCTCCGAGCCCCTCGGTGGGGATTTATAGTGAGATGAAGTTTTTAGGGCTGTGAAATATTCACATAGAATGTTACTATTTCTTTTAAATTGAAACACAGATATGTGTTTATTTTACTAATGTAAACAAAAGACTACCACGTGAGTTTGATTGTGTTTTGTTTGTGTGCGAGTCATGACCCCGATCTTATTCTGTTCCAGGTGGGCGATAACCGTCCGATTTGCATGCGATCGGCGTCCGCTATAATAGACGAGGTTCGATTCCGTGAACGGTAAGTGATGAAGCTTGTTTTCTATAATTTTCTCCGACATACCGTGACGTTTCTTCCGTTTTAGATGTGTTTTGACCTATTTTGAGTGGTGTTTGTTTATTTCGTTGGCAAATGACATTGAATTGAAATTTAACCCAACGTATATCGTTTGCGTAAACAAAGTATCAGAATATATCTGAATTGAACAGATGAAAAACTATTTTTTAGGGTTCCGTACCTCATAGGAAAAAAACGGAACCCTTATAGGATCACTTTGTTGTCCGTCCGTCCGTCTGTTAAAACCCTTTTTACAAAAAAAGTATTTTTTCTGTAGATTAATAATAAAACCGACGGTTAATATTGTCTTAAATTAGTACAAATCTAACCACATTAATAATTATCAAATTAGGGTGAAAAATTATTTACATATTTGACATGATAGAAAGTGAATTTCAATACCGTCACCTAATTTTTTGTTGCGCTTCAAAAATCCTGCCATATATTTGCGTCTATAGTTTTTTTTAATCAAAATTAATTAATCCTATAAGTAGTTAACTTAGTGCTTTAGTCCTTTAGTACTCACAAATGCATCGTAGTCCTAGATAGTACGTACGTCGAGACGGGTCGATACGTTCGGATATTGAAACTGCACGGCCTCGCCTCGCGGCAGTCTATCGCCGGCTCTTGGCTGAATCGCGCGCGCGTTTAAAAAAAAAAACTTTCATCCGCAGTGTCTATGTTGACAGTGTTTTTTTTTCTGTGGATAAATATCGATTTTTTTTCTTGAGGTTTTAATGTGATTAATTGAGTTTTTTTTTTTGGAATATTGATGAAGTTTTTATGTGTAAGTGTGACGGTAGATACGATTTTTTTTATGAATATTTTTTTTTTCACTTTTTTAAATTAATTTATTGTGTTAATATTTTAAGTAGATTTTATTATATTCAATTTTTTAAATATTAGAAAGAATTTGATTATAAATGAGGATAGGATGGGATAGTTAATAATTCGTTAATTATAATTTTCTATTTATTGTATTGTAAATTAATTTTTAGATTGCAAAGAAATATCAGTTTGCCGAAGGTTTCATATTTGAGTGACTTTTTTCAATTACTTAAATTTTTTTTTTGGAGAATTTAAAATAGCAAATAATCATGTTGGAAATATACCTTATCTTAGATATTGTTTTCCTTGATGTGATAAAAAATTTATATGACGCAGAAATCAGAAGATTTATCTCCGTGTTTCATTTTGATTATCAAACTTTCATTTTACTTTTCTAATATTCCCAAAAATGTAAAAAACGGATGATTTTTGCTATGCCTAAAGGTTACGGCAAGACGTAATTAGTAGACGTAATTAAATAATGTCAGTAATTTACTTATTATTATTACAATTCGATATGCGATTTGCTGTTTTTTATGTTCATACCGAAACTAGCGTTGGACCATGATCCCACTCGATGTTAACTTACTACCGTACGTAGTAAGTTTAGTCTACAGTTGATTCTAGGCAAATTATAAATGGACGGTATTTTTGATTTCGCGATGACATAAGTTTTAACTATCAATATGAAGGTAGACTTATCCTTTGTTATTATCTATAGTGTTATATACGTTTTAAGTTAGAGTTACTTGAAGCTGGATTAACGCTTACTTAAGCCGATTTAAAGCTTATAGCTTATAGTAAGCTATGGACTTCATATAAGGCTAGTTTATAGCTTTATCTTTATTTTTTGTCTGTCTCTTATGTTTGTGATTCATTAGTGGATTCCGTGGGAACTAAAGTTATTAGTCTTTGTTGCTATGTTTATAGGTTTATAGCAATTTATGAAATTGAATACACCGTAATAGTACAGTCGTTTTTTTGGATCTGGGGACCACAGTTTAAATTATAATCATGTTTCAAATATTACATCTAAATACTTAAGTTTTAATTTAAAACGATTCAAATTGGTCGTAAGTAGTAAAATAGTGATATTTTATTAGTTTAATTTGTATTTTATGTTTACATAAAGAAATGCCTGCTGTAGTGATCTAGAAATTCTTTAGTTTTGTACTACTAGCTGTCGTCCGCGACTCCGTTCGTGCGGAATTAAAAAAAACATAATTAGTTGCTTGTGTTCTTCCAGACAATGTTCTGTTGTCTGTCTTCAGTTGCTTGTGTTGAATGTCTGTCTTCTGTAACATCCAGTTTGGATAAAGTGTCGGCTATTTCATTGATTTTTAAACCGATATGTGAAGGTGCCCATTGAAGTACTACGCTGACATGTTCAAAAGAACGAAAGTCCCTAAAAAAAAAGAAAAAAATGTTTATCATAATTGCAAGAAGTCTACATTAAGCCTTTTCCTAAGCACTGAATCAACTCTGAGTGCGGTAGTAAGATTTAATTTATATCTATTTCTGTCGTAAGATGTGTCGTAAATTTTAATGCAAAAATCAATTTGGTTTGCGTTGTGAAGTGGCAACCCTGAGCCTGAAACGCAATGTTTTGCCACACCTTGCGCTATCGTACTGCGATTCGTTACTCTTGTACAAATTACTGGCACTTACTCTTCACTGTTAGAAACTGAATTTACTATGAATATTTTTATAACTAGATGTTGCCCGCGACCGCGTCCGCGCTGAATTAAAAAAAAATAGTAGCCTATGTGTTCTTCCAGGCTAAGTTTTCTTGAGACACCTTCTAACAAACATCAATCCAAACATTCGCATTTATAATATTAGTACGATTTAAGTATAGAGATATATAAAAATTAACGTTTATTTGAAAAGTTAGGGTTGGCGACACACAGTCATTCGGGTAAAAAAAATTAAGCCAAAACATTATGGTTTGCAATACTTTCCATATCGACCATGGAGGGCGGGTGATGATTTTTACCCATGTGATGAATAGAGTTACATCTCTTATAAGGTCTCTAAAGACATCCGAGGGTTGATTTAATTTTTTTGAAGAACGTTGTAAGTGTTGAGGTATGAATTTTGTTTTTAAACGGTCCTATGATTAATATTGCTTTTAGTTTTTGTCCCTCATGTTAATACTATAAAGGTATGGTAATGAAGAGATTTATAACTTGTGAATTATATTTGGCTTTACGTTATAGTAGAAACTGTAGCGTAGGAACTGATCAAGTATAACTCAATTGCAACGAAATGCAGCAAATTTGCGTACACATGTTGAAATCGATGTTTTGTAATGGTTAAATCGGCTAACTCGATTCGCGGTTTTCACGTTTCACAATTTTAGTGCAAATTTTGATTCAATTCTAACAGATATTACAATATTGCTTAATTATATTTCAATAAATGTTTTAACGAATGAAATTATTAATTTATTTGATGCTAGTTGTCGCCGTCGACTCCGTCCACGCGGGACTAAAAAACTTAACTAGTAGCCTATATGTTCTTCTATGTTCTATGTTCAAATTTCAGCGGGATCCGTTCATCCATTCTGAAGATACCTTCAAACATCTATCCATCCATCCAAACATTCTTATTATAATATTAGTAAGAAGTAAGATTAAAATATTAAAGTAACTGAAGATTTTCATGTATTATAATTGCATAGATGTAAGAGCTTGTTAGATGCGATAATAGTTTAATGGTTAAGAGTACGGACATGTAATCACGTGACATGGTTCGAATCCTGCAATTTGAATATTCTCCTACCATAAGGCTAGTAGAGCTTAGTTGGAATGTTTACGAGAAAATTAAAAAAAAACACCTATTTTAAATTAAATGAATGAACTTTCTTGGTATTAATAATAGATGTACAATGTAGTAGACATTTAATTGTCAATAGATTTATTTTGGTTGAAAGTTTTAGTGTTAAAATTGGTAATGCAAATATGTCTATTTTTAATAAGTCTGTGATTACAGATAAAGGAAACATTAAGATAGGTTTCTATTGAATTATTTTTCTATTTTAATATCTTGAATAAAAATTCAAATTCGACTAGTAAAGAAACGTTCTCTCTCTATGGTGGTCATAACAATGGCGTTAATTATACGTCTGGGTGCAGTGAAAGCGGACCTTAGAGCTCGCGGCCTTCTCCAAACGAGATTTGTTTACAGCGACTGTATTGAACGATGATCGTTATTTAGTGTTAATGGAATTAATTGAATCGCACTTAGAATTAGTCGTATAATTGGACTAAATTTGGTAAAGTACAGTTAGGGACTTTGGACGTATATGTATTCACTAAGATATTTAATATATTTAAATTACATCTCTTATTATTTATTTAACAAATTTTTGATGTTTTTATTTAAAGTTCAAAAATTTGTCGATAATTAAACTCGTAAAAAACAATTTTATCACATAAACCTTAGGGATTAATTCAGATGACAGATAATTAAATAATTAGAAACTTGTAATGTGTTTTTCAGACATGGTTAAAATATTAAACTAGGTGTTCTAATTTCTATAAATAAAATCTTAGCAAAGACACCTTTGTTATTTTCTTCAAAAAACATTTGTGCTGAATCATCGAGGTCAAGAACCCCAGTCAGTGGGCACCTCAATCAATAACAAACAAAAAAAAACACTGGATGAAAAAATTACATAAGAAAGTGAAACTGATAGAAGGCAAGTAACACCGCGGTATGATTAATAGTTCTATTAACAAGTGAAAGCAATCCGTCTGTTTGTAATTTGCCGAAAAATCTATGAAATTGAGATCTTCGGAAATTTCCTTTAAGAGTAGTAAATATCCAGTACTAGTTTTTTAACATTTTAATGACGTTCAATTAAAAAGCCTGTGTCTTGAATAATTATCGTTTCTCTCAATGTTTATTGTAATGTAGAGTTATGAAGATTTAGAAAGATATTGTCGAGTATTTCTAATATAGTTTTTGATGTGTCATTTTAATCTCTCTTATCGGAATGCTTAGTAATTCATTATGTTACATAATGTTGGTTACAAGATCAATCAAAGTGGTGTGTCTAGACAAGTGCGTACGTAACGTGAACAAATGTTATGTACTATGTATGCTGTAACAGGATGTAAACATTCTATGTTTTTTTAACCAGAGGTTTCGATGATAAAATTGTGTTAGAAAAATTTGGAAACGCCATAAAAGTGGCAGTGACTTTAAGAGTAAAGACAAGGGTTCAGAGTGAACTGTCTATTTGCGTAGTCTTTAGATATTTTTACAATTGTACAGTATAAAAAATTCTAATGATAAAGTTTGTAGAAATGTACTGGAATCGTTTACAAATAAAAATATTCTAACGACCCCGTTCTAAACTTTGTAGTATTTATTGCAAAATATTTATTTTACTTTGTCATAATCATCATATTGTGATTGTGATGTTTGACGTAAAATTTTTATTGATTGCACTTTAAGCTTTAAGAGAACATACTATTGAAATTGCTACAATGGATACAATGTTGACCGAGATATCGAACAAAAAGTTTCAGTATATGACTTTGGATTCTTTGAAATGAATAGGATCTTGATTGCCTTAATATCGTTTTATTTATAATTGAAAGGCGATGGATTATGAACCTCTTTGTCAATGACCTTGAACTTTGGAATCTAGTTTGACATACTTTGGAGCCTCTGAAGCAGGGGGTGGAAACTTAGAAGAAGGACGGTTTGTATGGAAAGTGGCGCCACCTTTTATATAATCGTAAACATCATTTCATCTCATGGCTGAGAAGAAGCATCATTTCTGTCATCGAGACATTCATGTGTCATCAAACCGCTACGTTTTTTCGTATTTCTATTTCTGTTCTTGTATTCTTAGTTAAATGTTGTTTCATTCATTTTGTTTTTAATTAAAATGTGTTTTCGTGAAAAATGACGCTGTACGCAACTGTGTTTTAGATGGACTGATTATGGTAAGTTACAATTCAATAAAAATTTTCATGTTATTCCCATACGTCAGACTCATTTAAACATTTAAATATTTTCGTATTTTGGTGTAGTTTTTAGCACCACAGTGATTTATCCTTTCCGGTTATCATATTGAATGGTGCCCTACTTCTAATACATTTTACATATCAGTTCCTATACTTGATTGGAAATCACATTCTGTTTGTTTGTTGTAGGTGCACATATACACGGTTTCCCCCTTCCTGAGAGACGGTCAGTGATGTTCAGAAAATGTGTGCCAATCACTGGAATTATAGAGCCATAAACTGATGTGTCTGAAATTAGTAGGTGGGTCCATGTGTGTATATGTAAAAAATATATTTTTTTATTTGTAATTTTTTATTGTAAAGAAAAATTTGCTTGCCTATGTTGTAAGAGAATATGTTCAGAGTGTTTAAACTCGCAAATAACTACAAATTGCCAATTGCCAGCTTGCATGTGACTGAAAATATTTTGGGGGTTGGTTTTAATTACAGGGTATGCATTTTTTTGTGACCGCGCTATACTATTTATTACCGTAAATGTAATTTTCAAATATATATATTAAATATTAAAATATTGAGCTGATATCTTGAAAGTCATTGATGTATATGTACTTGCATAGATTTAAAATTAAGTTATGTAGAAATATAATAAATAATGTACAAAAATATAAAAATATTTTGTTTTTATTTCCCCAATAATAATAGGATCATTTTAATAGAGGTATTTCATAGAAGGCTACTTGATATCGGCTCACTATAATAATAACTGATAAGTGGGTGTATTATTTTTGAACATTGATTTAATGTCAATTTTAATTTCATAAATTAGATTCCCACTTATCAGTTATTATTATAGTGAGCTAAATAAGCGTGCCTACGTATATAGATACCAAAAAAAAAAAAATTAGTTCAGCGATTATACGCATGGAGCGCCACAATCGCCGTGGATCCACGACTTCGTGCGAGTTGCCCCTCTTTCTATAGTATACTTATTATACTCTTTGCTCTGAAGTCTTTGTTATCATAATGTATTAATTTTATGATTTCATGTTATATTCGCAAAAAACATTTTTCGTAAAGTTTATTTTGAACGTTTTTATGTTAATTATGCTAGTAGAAGAGAATCCACAAGAGCATTCATCGGGACAAATTATAAAGTAGAAAAGTACAAAAACAAATTTCTGTCTTTCACATTTCCTGCAGCAATTTGTTTTCGTAAAGGTGGAGACACACAGTTGCAGATTATCTAATAGAATTTAAGCTTTCCACTTGACCCAGAGTTATAACCTTTCATTAATATTCATTATAGTGAAATAACATAAGTCCCTACAGTCGCTCTCTAATACTTATACAAAGTCTTTTAAAAGGGAAATCACACTCAATTTCGATTTCACTATAACGCTATACGGAAATGTGTTCATTATCATAATGTTCCCTTTGTCGTAGCTAATGATTTAAAAATGTAATATGACGATTTTCGGCATAGTCAGGAATTACTGCTTTTTTTCCATTTAAGTTATAAACTTTATTTAAGTTTGCTTACATTGTTATAGTGTTTGGTTTATTCAACTTGTAATATTTAATCAAATGATATCGCGTATCTTGTCTTCTATAATAAAACGCATATAATTTCTAAATGAGAAGTAAAGGTTAGTGTGGAGGAGGGAAGAATCGCATGTGGCAAGGAGAACATAAGTATGAGTGTGGACACACCGGCAGAGGTAGGTCTAGGAAGAGATGGACGAATGAAAGGTGACATGGTTATGAAAGGGTGAAGACTGAGATGACGGAATTACATATTGATTTGGAGGACGAAAACTGGTGCGCCAATCCTACAAGTGGGACAAGGACAGAGATGAAGATATAATGGTTAATTAAAGCTCTGATTGATTCGATTTGTGATTTATATTGCATATTGTTGTATGCGGCATGCATACCAAGTAGCATATTTCGTAACTCTAATTTTGCTCGTTTGTAATTATGAACGGTTCAATTATTTGATAATTATCTATATTCATTGCTTCGTATTCGTTAACGTGCGCTTTCTTTTGCGGTCCAATTTGTTTGTGCTTTACATCATTACTATACATGTATAGAAACATATTGTCATCCTTGTCACTCTGATGGAAATAAACAGAGTCAACAATATATGTCTTTTGTGAAACTCGAGGTTAGAGGTCCTTTGCATTTTAGTTGTCAAATGTCAGATGACCATGGAAAATATTACGTATAATTTATGATTTTGTTAATTGTGTTGATATTTTTACTTAAATTTAATAAGAAATAATAAGTATTATTTTATGAATAAAATTTATGAATTCTTATTAGAATAACAATTTTATGTCCTAAATGACATTGTCGTGAACTTTCGAAATGATGATTTTTTTTTCGTTTTTGAATTGATTTTTTTACAGCATTTTAAAAAGAGCAACTTGTTAGCGATTAGTAAAGGTCATTGTAACCATTTTCTATCACAAAACGCATGTTTCGTCTGCTATTAGTCAGATGTTTTATGGAAAGTTGCGTTTGTTAGAGATAACACTATCTAACTCTAACGACCAAATGTTTACCTTTCTCTTCTCTATCTACAGAAATGTGATTTAATATTGATTTAATTTAATTAATATGTCGATTATCAGTTTGGTTATAAATATTACGCACGGTTTGGATGAACGTTTTATACAATTTGTCTAAGAAATGACGTACAGACAATCACGGAATCTAGTAGTATTATGTCGTTTGAACGTTTGGTATGCATTTTTCTGTAAGTGGAACACCGCGAATTGTCCTGACTGTATATTTTTTTCAGATATTTAATTCAATTGATTTTACTCAATAATTAATAGAACCTCAAGTAAAATAACGATGTTTATATCTTAGTTTGAATGTGTCGATGTCAAAAGTGATGACGAATTATAAAATGTGACATTTGCGTTAACGAAATATTACAAAAGTCAAGATGTGCAGCAAGGACCAGATAACGCACATCCTCGGCAAGATCAATGTGGTGAGTACATTTTTAATTTAATATGGTTCAATGTAGGGAATAAAATTTACAACTCATCTAAGATTGAATATCAGGAGATTCCCATAACTCATTTAGGTACGTTCTATACGCTGACATGTTTTTTTTCAAAAATGTACGATTTTGATTTTTTGTCATCTAGTATATATTTTTTCTACTATTTATTTGTTGCGAATCTCAACTTATTTACTAATAAATTTATAAGAATGTTGAGACATGAAACATATCTAAATTTTATCTGAATGTAAAAATGTTTGATATAAAAAAATCTGTTTACTTCATTGTTATTGTTGTATTATATTATATGTTGTGTCTGAGGAGCGTCGGTGGCTCAGTGGTCAAGCACTTGACTTGCAATCTGCAGGTTCTTGGTTCGAATCCCGCCATGTACAAATGTGTATTTCGATTTCCGATTTACATATGTACATTTATCCGACGTTCTTACGGTGAAGGAAAACATCGTGATGCAACCTGCACATATCTGAGAAGTATGATGCTTCAAAGATATGTGTGAAGTCAACCCGCACTTGGCCAGCGTGGTTGACTATGGCCTAATCACCCTTAACTTAAGGCAGGCTCCGAGCCCCTCGGTGGGGACGTATAGTGAGCTGATTATGTATGTAATTGAAAAACGACTGTAACTTTCTTTTCATTAAATTTAAAAGTCCAAGACAAATATGTCTTCACTTTTTGTGTTCGTGTTATCGGGTGTTGCATTAATATTCGGTCACGTTACATCATAAAAAAGTTAGTAAAAAATAAAAAAAATCCAGCATCGTGTCATTGCATTATTACTTTGTATGTCTATATTGATATTATAAAGAGGAAATATTTGGTTGTTTGTTTGTTTGTATTGAATAGGCTCCGAAACTACTGAACTGATTTAAAAAATTATTTCATTGTTGGAAGCTACACTATTTTCTGGTGTAAAGCTATATTTATTTGTAGACTTTTTTTTAAAATTCCACGCGAACAGAGACGCGGGTAAGTATTAGTATTAATTAAATTTATACTTATACTTACCCGCGTCTTAAAAAATAAATAAAATTATTAAAAATACACTGCGAAAAGTGACAAGTTTTTTTTTTAAATCATAAAAAAGATGCCTATTTTAATTTAAGCAACTGCTTCATAGTTTGCCACCTTGATCGTTATTAGATATTCTAATCATTTTTTTATTTTGTCATTTTGAAAAAGAAGAAACGAATAGAAAGTGTTTTTTTAAATAACCTAATTTCGGGTTCATTGATCTGTAAGTAGTCTAACCTTGTTTTTTTAATTACTTGTTCTTATTTCCTATGTTTTATCAGTTTTCAAAGCAATGAAAATTACAAAATTAACTTTTTAACAGAAAAAAATATTTGAAAGACAAAACAATTGCTTACATTCCAGTGTTTATAAAACAGGGTTTCGTTTCTGAAAACAAATGTATTTTGGTAACATTTTTGCTGTTGTCGGAGTCGAATATTTCAAATTCTGAATTAATAGTGATCGATATTATTAATTGAGTCATATTATTAATTTAATAAAAAAAAGAAAATAAACTGGTCTACTTAATGTATTTATTAAGATAATAACTTGATGTAATTAAGTCGTGATAATTTAAAATACAATTCACTTATAACATTGACCCGGTTTTTTTTACGGAGCTGAGATTTTTTTCATTTTTTTTTAATCTGTCATACTGGAAATTAATGAGGCCTTTTTATTGAACGTATATGATAAAATTAGTTGCTAGTTACATCATGTTATTTTAATTACGTATATTTTTTGGAATTTATTTCTTCACTAATTTGTTGAGTTTGACCTTTAGTATATTTCTATGAAATGTTTTCTGCACACACAATTTTGTTAGCCGACTTCAAAAAGAAGGAGGGTTATCAATTCGTCTGTATGTTTTTATTACTGTGTTCATTAGTTTAAATCAGTATATTAAGACGCGTCTTTTAAGGTATGCCAAGTTCAGTATCTCTGTTTATCTCTGATTTTATGTTAGTTATAAAAAAAAAAACATTTTTTATAAAATCACTTTCTAGTAAATCTCGTTTACATTCAGTGCGGGTCACTTGAAATCTTTTTACCTTGTTTCTATAAAATCTGGCTCACCGCTTAATAATTGAGCTTGTTTTACTATTAAAAATATGTTATGATCGCGGAGATCTATGCATGGCTAGCTTATGCCCGCGACTTTGTCTTCTCGGAATTAGAATAAAAGGCTTGTGAAGTAGCTTATGTGTTCTTCTAGACTATGCTCTACATCTATGTCATATTTCGTCATGGCAATGTTCCGGAGATACCTTCAAATAATACCATCTAATCGTCATCATCAAACATCAATATAAATATTCGCATTTGTATTATTAAGATAGTAAGATGTTTTAACAGTGGAAACGCAGAGTAAATTACGGTTGCCCACTCGTGCGCGACGCCCGCGCTCTGCTATGCTTGATCCATTGTTTTGACAGGTTACATGATCTGGTTTTGATGTTCGACAACGGTAAATAGGCTCTTACTTTAAAATGTCAGGGCTTCTAAACGTGTTTCAAGGTTCTCTTTGTGATGGTTTTAATATTCAAGATTTTCTTGTCTATGGATTATTCATCTTTAGGTAAACAATAGTTATGTGAGGGACGTGTTTGAAATGTATGGAGCAAATGAAGTTACAACTGTTCCACTTTCAAGTAAGTCCAAGAACATGTTTAAAGATAACTAACTGTCGCCCACGACTCCGCTCTTGACTCTGCGAGGAATTTAAAAAATCTTAATAAGTAGCCTATGTGTTTTTCCAGACTATGTTCTACTTGTGTACCAAATCTCATCAATATCCCTAACATCCATCCATCCATACATTCGTATTTATAATATTAGTAAGTTATATAGTAAGAAAGCATAGATTAACTTCTGTATGTGTTTCAAATTCATGATATTTATTTAGATTCTTCTAAGATTGTGGTTAATCGTGTTTTTTATTTTGTCACTTCCTTTTTCCTCTTTGGTATTTTCTTCTGATTCCTTATGATTTTTGAGTTATTAATCTAGTAATATTATAGCTTTCAAGTACATACAGGTGTAGACAGGTCATTGACTACGCTATGTGATACTCGACCTGATTTCACTCAGCTCTCTTCTCAAGAGGCTCGTGAGTACAGAGGGAGGCCCTTAGAAGATACTAGAACGAGTTATTTATTGAATTTTATATTGCCTTCGTTCAGAGAGAAAAGAGCGTAAAAGTTAATAATGTAAAATAAAGTAAGAGTGTAAAATTTAATAATTAACTTTTACATTAGTTGTCTAAAGCTTATTAATCTATCTACAATGTACTAAAGCTATCAAAACAGAATTAATTTAGTAATTACGGATAAATTACTTACTCCGCTAACTTACTTACAAAGTGGGTCTTGGCCTCCGACACAAGAGATCGCCAAAGTCACCTGTCTTGAGTCTTCTACCAGTCCATCGCTTGTAGCTCCCGCAGATCCAGTTCTACGACGTTTCGCCAGCGTTACTTATATTTATTTAGATTGATTAAGTACGACTTTTACACTGTTAAATAGGTAAGGTCATTATAAAGATTTTTAATATAATCGTTGTTATTTCGACTTTGAAATGTCATAATTAAAAAAAGTAATGAGGTTATTTTGACACGATCGATGTGTTGTTAACGCCCCGATTGTGCGTGTGTCGATGTAATGGGTAAAGACATTCCCTCGGTAATGGAGCGTTGTCATTTCCCCGCCTTCCACAATGCGGGCGCAATGCACTTAACGCGTTAATTAACTTGTATTCAATGCGCAAGGACTTTGCCGTTCTATTTTAATAAAATGTTTGTTATTTATAATGTGTTATAATAGATATTTGTGTCCCATCTTACTAATATTATAAATGGGAATGTTTAGATGGATGTTTGTTTGAAGGTATCTCCGAAACGCTACAACGGATCTTTATGAATATTGGCATATATGTAGAACATAGTCTGGAAGAACACATAGGCTAATCATTAAGTTTTTCATTCGATGGAGTCGCGAGCGACAGCTAATTGTAGAAATATTGAAACTTTTGAGGTTAAGTTGTTTGTCTTAAGGTTTTAAAGTTTGAACCCTTCTACTTTTGATTACTTACAATACATTAGACGTATGTATATTGAGAATTGAACTTGTTCTTGCTTATTTTTCTCTTTATCTTTGTGAGGTTAGTTTATTGCATTTTGTTTACCAAAACATTGATTTAATCTGTTTCTATTTTCATAATAGTATTTATGTCATCATTATATTGTTCAGTGCAAACCATTGACTGACCATATAAATATTTACTTTTTGATGACATCGTATGTTTGATTTAATTGTTGTTTTGTTAATATGTTCATTTGTTTTACAATGCGAACAGTTATAATACGTTTGTCTTCGGTTGTGCGTATTGTAGTGTACAGTACTGAGTTAAAAGGTGCTTAGTGGTTAAGTTAATTTGTGGTTCAGTTTTATTGTGGACTTTATTGTCTCCGGATATACGGATTAAATAGTATGAAGTGTTTATTTTTCTTGGATGTTTCGGTGAGATTTTTAATTTTAATTTTCGTTTGTCTTTATTGTAATAACTAGAAGTCGCCCGCGATTTCTCATAAAACATAATTAGTAGCCTATGTGTTCTTTCAGACTATGTTCTATATTTATGTTAAATTTCATCGAGATCCGTTCAGCTGCTATGGTGATACCTTCAAACATATCTATCCGTCCATCTAAATGTTCGCTATATTTATTATATAATATTAATAAAATATGATGTTTCGTTCTATGTATTATTATATTAATAAGATATGAGTATCGAGGATATTTTATACTTTACTGTTATTTACATTTTAAAATATTATTTAATGAAGAAGTGGTTTTATCTGATGATTTTAAATTAGCATTTCAATACAAGGATATCCTTTGATTTGATGTTGTTATTATGCAAATATTCTATATCTAGTTTAGAAATATCAAATA